ACTGAACATCTTATAACCAGTGTTACAGGCTCAGTATCAAGTAGAAAGCAGAACCTTGTCCTTCCATATTTACAGAATACCCAGAAAAAAAAAAAAAAAAGGTCGTTTGAGTTGATGGCACCTCCAAAGAAATTGCTGGGGTTAACATGGAAGATTTGAAGTTAGTATCCAGTACTTCCCATGTGTCTGTAGTATTTTATGTTCCTTTTGTCATGTAATTCCTTGGTTCAGCTGCGCCAGCAAGGTCAATGCTGGCTCGTGAGACCTGGGTGCTGTGTGCCGGCTCTGCTCTCTCTGGCTGTGTTACCCGGGGCAAATCGCTTACCTTGATGGATTTTGCAAAATAGAGTTAGCCTCATATTATGGTAACTTTACCTTAGCAGCCCATAGTAAGAACTCAGATGCGAGCTATTATCTGTCATCATGTGCAAGAGCAGGTCTGTCCTGTAGAGGCTAAGCAGGGACCGTTTCCACACTGGCCGTATGGAAAGGGCCAGGTCCACAGGAAGCAGAGATGCGAGCAACAGGAACGGCCACTCCCCAGCACACTTTGCTCAGCCTGTGACCTGTGTGCCCTTCTTGCGGGTTCATCACGGTCACTCCCCATCCCATCCCCACCCCCTCCGCTCCTTCTTCGTGCTCCTGTTCCTTCCCCCATTGGGCTTGATGAAGATACTGCCCTACGTTTGATTAGCTTATTTTTAAGCCTGCTTTTGTGTTTCTTATATTTGATTCTTGTAGGACTGACTGAGGTCAATTTCTCTATTTTCCAGATGGGGAAACTTAGATCCAGGGAGGGCAGATTACTTATCAGGTTCTTGGGGCTGGAAAATCCAGGTTATCTTGGCATAGAAGGGACCCTGAGTTATTTCCTGAGCCTTACTCTCTGCTCCCCAGATCCAGAGGTAGGTGATAGAAGTGGTCCTGTGCTAGAATGTCATTCTCTTCCTACTGTGGGGCGCTACCTCTCCAGAGCTGGTATTGCCCAGCCCACCTCTTCACATCCTGTTGCGTGGTGGTTTTCCCACCAGACAGGCAGTGAAACTCCATTCTGACACTACCTACCTGGAGGTAGCATCGGATTCTATAATTAAGGGCTCAGTCCCACAAAACTGGCCCCACTTCAGACACCAGCCACAAGTCTAGATGTCGCCTGTGCTTCTGACTGACTGGCTACTAATGGAAGTTCCCACAACCCCCTCGTCCACATCAGTTAATTTGCTGGAACAGCTCACAGAATGCAGAGAAATGTGGCTTACTAGATTACCTGTTTATTATAAAAGGCTATGACTCGGGAACTGCTGATGGAGGAGATACATAGGGCAAGAGAGAGGGGAAGAGCACGTGTGCTTTTGGAGAACGAACGCACTTGCTCTCTGGACGCACCACCAGCCAGCACTTGCACATGTCGGTATCTGGGGAGCTCTCTGAACCCCGTTCTTTTGGGTATTTATGGAGGCTTCCTTACACAGACACTATTGATTAAATCATTGAGCCCAGTCTCCAGCCCCCTCCCCTCCCTTCATGTCCCCAGAGGTGGGGGGTGGGACTCAAACTTCTAACCCTCTAATCAGTCATGTGGTTGGTTGCCCTGGCAACCAGCTCCCATCCTCAGTTTACCTGGGGACTTTCCAAAAGTCACCTCCTTCACATAAACTTGTGTGGTTGAAAGGACTTATTTTAAATAACAAGACACGCCTTTCACTTTTACCACTCTGCTGAAACTATTTTAGGAACAGATGACAAAAGACCAAATATAACATTAGATGCTCCCATCCTCTTATCTCTTAGGAAATTCCAAGGATTTTAGGGGCTCTGTGCCAGAAAGCCATGAAGACTGATATATTTCTTGTTATAAATCACAATATCACACCTGTGGCCAACTCTTTTTTTTTCCCCACTAAGAGAAAGGGCTTTAGATTGGGGGTTCAGACATCTAATTCTAGAATCAGCTCCCAACCCTCAGTTAGACCTGGTGGCTTCACCCAGACTCTTTTTTTTTTTTTCAGATTTATTTATTTATTTAAACAAGCACTGGGTACAGTCAGAAGCACGGGAGGGTGAGAGAATTCACCAGAGCCAGAGCGGGGAGCAGAGCAGGCAGAAGGACCGAAGTACACTGCTGAGGGGAGCAGCGGGTGGCAGGAGAGGTCTGCGCGCCATGTGGGACCCTCCTCCCAGACTCTTGATACAATGAAGAGACTGGTCTAAACCTCTAAGTCTCAATTTGTTTTTCCTATTTTCTAGGACATAATAAATTCTCTTGTAACTCTCATTGGGTGGCCTGCTTCCCATCACCTTCCTGGTAACTCAACCCCTTTTCTTGCTCACCAGGAATCCCATTGGAATGTGGGGGATTGAATGATGCTACTGTAGCATAACCATGAGTCTGTTCTAAGTTATCAGAAAAGTGAGTAATATGCAAGCTGTAAGACTTCTGTTTAGTAACAAGTCACTTTAACTGCTCCCAGTAACTGTCAGGCCAGTGTTGGAGAGCCTGGCCAGAACCCATCCACGCACCCTGCCTGTGGACAGAGTGCTAGCACAGCAAGTGTAGAGTAGAAATATCCTGGAGTCATTTACTTATATTTTTTAAAGATTTATTTATTTATTTATACAAGCACTGGGTACAGTCAGAAGTGCAGGAGGGTGACAGAATTCACCAGAGCCAGAGCGGAGAGCAGAACAGTCAGACTGACGAAGAAATACACTGCTGAGGGGAGCAGCGGGCGGCAGCAGAGGTCTGTGTGCCATGTGGGACCCTCGCCCGGCGGCTGGGGATTGAACCGGCTCTGCAGAGGCTGCGAGCAGCTTCGCAGCCCAGCTCTCAACTGCTGTGCCACCGGGGAGGCCCTGGAGTCATTTAAATTGTGGCACAGCCTTGGTCTTTTGCCACCCAATGAGAGTTACAAGGGAATTTATTATGTCCTAGAAAAAAGGAAAAACGAATTGAGACTTAGAGGTTTAGACCAGTCTCTTCATTGTATAGAGTCTGGGTGAGGCCACTAGGTCAAACAACAGGGCTGGGAGATGAATCTCTGAAGAAAATGAGAAATTTCCCAATAACTGTGCATTGTGTAGAATGTTATTTAATCAAAATACTGGTTTATTTGCTGGGTACAGGCATGTAGGCCGACCCAAGGGTGCAGAAAGAATTAGGTTCGATGTGAAGACATCCTCCTCCTGTAAGACTGAAGTCCATTCCTCACCTGTGCTGTGACAGGTGCCTACACTGGGTTAGCAAAGAAGCCACCTGGCAAAACCCAGCCCTTTCTCAGCTTGGCCAGAGTTCTTGAATGAATATGTTTGAGGAAAGGGGTCTGAAGACATGGGGACTGTGGTCCAAGGTCCACTTTGTCAGTGGTTCCCCTTGCCTTGAAATTTCTGCTGGCCTTGGAGTCAGCATCGTCACTGAGAAGAAGAGAGTTGGTGAAGACTTTTAAGTTAAGGTCTTGTGCCCCACTTGGGAATGTGGGCGCTCACTTGCTTCCTGTCTGCACCACCAGCTGCCCCAAAGAAGGGTTTACTTACAGAATGAGCAAAGTCGAGCAAGAACTCTGGTGAAGGTGTGAATGGGCAGCTCTGTCCTGGAGCAGCTAACAGTCAACATTTACCGCTTTATCTGTTTCATAATAATTGTTGCTTGTAGATATCATCAGCATCCAGTGCAATGGTGCATGGAATATTTGCACTAAAAACTAACGCAAGAGTCAGATCTTCACAGCAGTATTTACGTGTGCTGTATTTGACCTCGGAAATCCAGACTAGGTAGATAGGAATTAGTCACAAAAGGGAGAAGCTGTGATATGTAAAATTTCATGTGGACAAATAACTACTTAAGGTCATTGGATCTTTTTGGTAGAATTTATATGGAAGAGTTGATCTATTTGAAAATAATTTCAGTAAAAGTAAAATGGGGTGAGGGATTGGGAATAGTTTGCTGTGTTTTTCTTTTCGTTTCTTTTTTTTAAGATTTATTTATTTATGCATTCAAGAACTGGGGTGTAGGCCAGAGGTGCAGGGGGTGAGAGGATTCACCAGAGACAGAGTGGGGAGCAGAACAGACAGACTGTCTGAAATACACTGGTGAAGGGACCAGCGGGTGAGAGGAGAGGCCTGCTGTGCCGTGTGGGTAGCGCCCCTGATCAGGCTGGGATTGAACTCGTGCTGCAGAGGCTGCGGATAGCTTCACAGTGCTGTGCTTAACCCCTTGTGCCACAAGGGAGGCCCCTGCTGTGTTTTTCTATTAAAAATAGTTTATGAAAAAATAGACCAAGTGACTAGTTTTGCTTAGTGGAGTTCCACTCAGAAAACTCCCAGCCGCAATCTCCAATACTTACATAATTCCATTGAAACTCCTGGTGTGTGTAAGCCATACAAACCTCCTTGGGAATAAAACAGTGAGGTCATAGCACCCTGAATTCTACTGGCCTGTGAAACAGCTGCTACTCAGGGTGGCATATGGCCCAGGCACGCGTGGCATTTGGGAGTGCTCTGGAAGTCCAGCCAGAGCTCACGCACCCTCAGAGGACAGCTGCTTCCCCACAGGGAGGCAGAGGTGCTGGAGGTGCCTGTGACCAGAGATTCCTCATCTACCCGGGTAGTATGAGAGCTGGGAGGTGGAAGGTATTAAACACCTCATTATTCAGACTAACAGTTCCTTTGCCTTGTTATGGTGCCTCCCTGCCCCCTGCGGCCCTCGAGATTCCTCTGGGAAAGTGTTAGAGAGGAAAAAACCTCAGATCAGCTGTCCCTGACTTCTGATAAACTTTAATGAGGCGGAGACCAGGGGTGCATCCGTGGGAAACGGGATTTGGAGGATGTAATAAAAAGAGCAACATTTCACATGACTTCATGAAAAAGAAATCTGTGGGGTATCTCGGTTGTCATTCTCCACCTTGACTTTGACCCCTCATCGCCATGCTCAGTTGAGTGTCTGCTTATATTATGCTTATGCGTGGCTTAGAGAAAACATTTCACCGTGTTTCCCTTTGTTTCAGGTTTCAAGTGCCCCATTTGCTCCAAGTCTGTGGCTTCCGATGAGATGGAAATGCACTTTATAATGTGTCTGAGCAAACCTCGCCTCTCCTACAACGGTAAGGGCCTGGTGGGGAGAGCCTCTGGCTGAGGGACTTCCCAGCCTAGTGTGACTCTGATAGCATTTGCACACACCTGGTGGCAGGAATGCTAAAGGGTGCTGAGGAACCTGAGGAAGCCGTGCTGCATCCACCAGAGAGGAAGAGGAATGTGATGAGGAAGGAGGGATCTGGGGCCTGGGGTACCGGGAAGTCTCTTGAGTTGCTCAGTTAGTTCTGCTGTCCCTTAGTTCTTTCTCCCTTTAATACCCTGAACTCCCTCTCTTCTTCCTGCCCCATAATTCTTTGGCCTTCTAGTTGGGAGATACAGACGTGCCTTCACCCTTCACACACCTGAGAGCAGCAGAGGGCCCAGAGGAAGCACCCCCTCTCCGTGGGAGAATGGGGAGTCTGTGGCAGTGGCTTGCACTGACTTTCCAGGGCAGAATAAGTGTGACGCATGGATACCTTTTAGGGATTTAGAAAGCTGACCTGCCACCTACCCACTCCACCAAGGCCACGCTGCCACCTGCCATCGGTGCTGCCTCGCAGCTAAGTAGTAACTGTAACAGGAAGCAGGATCTCAGGCCTGGGAATTCTGTGCAACCCAGGTCCCCCTAATATGGCACCTCTAGATGCAAGGAGTGTCAGCATCTGCCTGGTATGCTATGGGCAAGGATTAGGAGCCCAGCTGATCTGCCTGCCTATACCCTTTATAGGCTGTGTAATCTTCGGCAAGCTGCTCAGCTCAGAGTCTTCCAATCCATGAAATGAGGATATCAATATCTGGCTTATAGGATTATTGTCAGAAGAAAGTAAGGTATTGCATGTAAAACCCTTCAACACAGAACCTGGAACACTGTCAGTACTTAGGAAGTTACAGCTGCCGTTAACAGGAACAGTCTCCCCCCCTCCACCCCAAGATGTTTTTTCATCATTTTCCAGAGTGGACTGACTTCTCTTTAGTGCTGCGCACCACGTGCTGCTGTGTTTTCTGTTCTTATGTGCTTAGTCTGGTCTTCAAACCATATTCATCAGAGAACGTGTCTTCTCCGAGAACAGGCACTGGATCTGAGCGGGGTGCACCCCTACCCTGACGCTGGGCACCACCTAGGATTAAAGTCACAACAGTGCTTAGGAAGGACTTCTGTTGAGTCCTCAGAGTCGGGGGCTGGACTGGAGGTGAGCCTGGATTGCTTGGCCCCATCCTGACGATGAAAGTCTCCTGAGTGGACTCTCTTTGTAGACCTGTCCTGGGGCTCCTGCCCTCCCCACACCCAGATGCTCTCCTCCCTTCCACCCCCACAGCATTAGCCTGGGGAGGCCTGACCATTCCAGATTGTTCATGTGAAGTTAATCTGAAGAATCTGATCTACTAGCTTCTCTTAAAAACACATCCTACTATTCTTGTCTCTGGTTTACTTCCTTAGCCAAAAGATTCTGGATGCTGGCAGGTGGGGCAGCTCCCTGCCTGTCTTCACTGCTGCAGTCTGACTGGCTTTGCTGAGGGTGGAGGACAAGCTGCAGGGCGGGTCTCTGTCCCCAGCTTTTCCTTCTCCTTCACATGCTACCTGGTATCCGGGAACACCCCCCTTTCACCAGTGGACAGGCTCTGCTGTCTCTGAATCTGTTATCTTTTATGCTCCGGCCGTCCCATCAAACTGGCCAGTGTCTGTTCCTTCAAGGCTACTCCAGTCTCTTCTGTCCTGTTCCTCATCTCTGCCTGGGACCATGGAGGGAGAGGAGTCTTCTCCCCAGTCATGGCCTCACAAACTGGATTCACTTGTCTCCCACATGTGTAGAGCCCTCATGAAGACCGCTTTTTGTCCCCGGGGCTGCTGGGGAGCATTCTCTGTGGACACTGTCTTGCTGTCCTAAGAACACAAAGCAGCCTCTTAGAGTGGGCTCTAAGCGTCATGGGGCAGAGCAGCTGTAGAGGGCAGAGTGCTCTCTTGGCCACTTGAGCAAGGAACCCACACACCCCGTGGGAAAATGGGGAAAGTCCAGGTCTGGCGAGGGAGAGCTGCCAGGATGCCTGCAAGCACCTCTCCCATGTTAGCCCTTCTGTGCCGATGCTGCCTCTTTCCTGCATGCCCATTGGCAAGGGTCCTCCACGGAGAGCCAGGCTGGCAGCCCAGCCTGAGCATGGGTCACCCACAGAACAGAAGCACACTCTGGGTGCTGCAAGGGGCCTTCATGGCCAGACTCCTCGTATTCAGTCTGTCTTTTCTAAAGACACTGAAACCTTCAGATGCAGGATGGTGCTTGTCGCTTGGATTTGCATAGGGAGAGGAACTTTCCAGGGCTCAGCCTGATTGAGGGCTTGTCCCAGTAGAGATGAAGGGCAAGTCTTTCAGGATTGTGGGCCACAGTTCTAAGTCCAGCTCTGGGTGTTTTGGTTTTGCCAGTAACATGTTCTGCCCTTGATTTCTCAGCATCCTGACTTCCCCAGCTTCACTTTCTCTTTCCCTTAAGAATAAAAAGTGTGAAGGGACTTAAAGAATCTGTGAGGTAGAGCGCCCTTGGAATCTTTCTGGAAGAGGGGGCAAGATGAGACTATCTTCATGGGTAGAGAAAAGTGCTGTTTTTTTTTTTTTAATCGTTTTATTTTATTTTATTTTTTTTTAAGATTTATTTGTTTATACAAGCACTGGGTATAGTCAGAAGTGCGGGAGGGTGAGAGAATTCACCAGAGCCAGAGTGGGAAACAGAACAGGCAGAGTGACGAAGTACACTGCTGAGGGGAGCAGCGGGCAGCAGAAGAGGTCTGTGTGCCATGTGGGACCCGCGCCTGGGGGCCGGGGATCGAACCGGCGCTACAGAGGCTGCGGGCAGCTTCGCAACCCAGTGCTCAACTGCTGTGCCACCGGGGAGGCCCCAAAAGTGCTGTTTTCTTATGAAGACTAACTTGAACTGGTCACTCCCCTGGAAATTGCTATGTGCGCGCGCGCACACACACACACACACACACACTGTGGTTGCCGGCACCAATGAAGAAATTTTCAGAAAATTCATAGTGGTTATATAAGATGAAATTTAGTTAACCACCAAAGGGGAAAAAAGTAGAGACCTCCTAAATGAAGCAGATAGAAAGTAGTATTTTTCTTATTATGAGGTTGGCCTGAGCTGTGGGTTGGAAGACCTCCAGTAGCCGCCAGCCAGATTAAAAAAAAAAAAATTTGGAAAAGGCAAGGCTAGTTTAACTGGTTTACCCAATGCTCAAGAGAAGGTGAAGACCACTGACTGGCTCTAGGGCAAGCAACGGGCTGGGAGGCGCTGGGGAAGGGACTAGGGCCCAGAGTGTGGGGTGCAGCATCTTCCTTCTCCATGGGTGGCTCCCAATCCAGGACTCCTAGAAAGTGAGGACATTTCGTAGCATAGGAAGGGACCCATTTTTGTGACTAAATGTGGTCAGCTTCAGCAGGTCTGTTAATTTCTCTCCCTTCCAACATCTGTTTGTGGTTCTGAAATTGGTGGAGCTCACATTTCAGAATATGCACCTAAATTTTGACCATCAGGTTGCTCAGCTAGTAGGATGAGCCTAGAGCTGGGGCCCTGCTTTGCGATGAACAGATGAGGGGGGTGGGCATAACAGATGACCAGCTGTTGATTGAACACTTGAAGGTCACTGGTTTCAGGACCAGATTGGATCCTTGGCCCTGGGAGAGTGTGGCATGGGGCGGGGTGGTTTGCCAGTGGTATTAAGGAGAGCCTGGTGGCTTTCAAAGCTGCTTCAGAGTATTCTCTCCCCATACCTTTCTCTCCCATGGGTTGCAGACCCATGTCCAGTCTTTTAGATCCTAACTGTCCTTCTTTCTTCTCTATCAGAGGTCCTTACCCCAATTTCAGGGCTCTTAAAATAGTAAATATCACACCAAGCTTCTCTAGAAGGGAGGGAACCTTGGCTCCCCTACAAGCAGGAATGAGGGCCAAGCCAGCAGACCTGTGTCAATGGTGCCTATTTGGCTTGAGTTTTCTGCTCTCAGAGACCCTGTGGGCTGGGCTGGAAGAGGAAGCAGGGTCCTGGTCAGGGAATTTGCCTAGCTCAGTGGGACTCTGCCAGCAGCTGTAGTCAGGTGCTGTACTGTGGGCTGGAGTCTAGCTGCAGAGGTGTCTGTCCCTGTGCCCTCCAACAGGAGGGAGCGTACGGCTCACCCAGAGCTCCTGTATCACCAGGAGCTCCCCATGTGAGTGAATGAGGAGTGGGAGGTGGGGAGCTTGCAGAAAATAGGAATCTGATGGCTAGAGGAGAGGGGCCTGAGTGGAGGATCTGCGGGGAGCTCCTGTAAATATGAAACCCTCTGGACCTGAGCTTTATTCCTTCACCCTCTGGGCTGTCATCTTTGCACCCAACTCACCAGAGCAATTAAATCACATTTGGGATATTGGGGTGGGGATGCCACTGCTGGCAAGGGAACGCGCTCTGCTCTTTTGCCTGGAGATTTCCCAAGGAGGGAGCTGGCATTGGTGGCACTGCCCTGCCTGTCCTTCAGGAGACTGGGCCAGCAGCTCTGCGCATGCTGAAGAGGCTGCAAGAACAAGCTCTTCAGCACCTAAACTGGAAATGAGGCCAGGGGGTGGAGCTTGTGTCTCTGCGTCATTTGCTAGGATTCTCCCTCTGGCTTCTACCTTCCTTCCCACCAGGGCCTTAACTGCCATCAGGCTGAAGGGGAAATATACTATGTAGTCCTGCTCAGCTGCTGGCTCTAAGCCGTCCCTCCCTGGGGGGCAACCAGCAGAAAATGTAGCTGTCGGCTGTCTGGGCCTCCCAGCCCCTCTATGCTGCCAGCAGCCCTGGGGGGTCCCTCGGAGAATGTGGAGCCAGCTTTTTCCATGGGGCAGCTAAACCCCCACAGTGGCTCATGGGGGCAGCAGTGCGGGCCCCTGCATTCCTCTCTGTGCAGCTAGGTTCCTCATCCCCGTTTGCCCCCCCCATGCACACATTCACAAAAGGAGAGCTGAAGCTATCTGTGAGATGGGTAGTGTTTCCCATCCTCCAAGCAAATGCCCTGTCACCTGACCTTTTATAAAAGGAGGCGAAGTGTCTGAGTGGAAGGAACTGGGGCTTGGGTGCCATGGCCCCTCAGCATCTGCGCGAGCTGATCCACAGACGCTCCTCCCCCAACCCCAGGATGTTTAGGATTCGGTTGAGCTGTAACTGTGAAGTTCCTGGCATTCCGTCAGCCCCAAAGAAGTGAGGGCTCTTTCTTTCCTCCTAGATGTCTTTTCTTTGACAAACAGCAGCTGTCAGAAGAGCTACCCTATATCCTAGGGAGGAGCAAATCCGCCATCACCTCCTTCTCCTGCCCTGCCACCGGCATCACACCTCCACTTTGGCACCAGAGAGCTGTGCCTGCCACTGTAGCCTTCCCTGATCTGGTTGGAGACATTGGCACTATCTACCACTACTCCAGCCAGGCCAAACACACTCTTCGACCCCCCGTCAGGCAATGACACTGGCTTTGTACATGGTTGTCAGGAAGCTTGGGAGGGCCAGAGAGGCAGGAATAAAAAGGAGAAGAAAGGCAGTTTCATTCCTGTATTCTCAGCAGCCAGCACTGGTTAAACCCCCTTCCTCTGTGGACCTGGGCTGCCAAGGGGCACCTGAGTCAATCATCTTGTGCCAGGCACGGGTCCTCTCACAGCCGACAGCAGGTTCCCGTCAGAAAAGTGTGGGAGTCTTGGAAGAATCGCTTGATAGCCAAGCTTCAGCTTCAACCATTTCCCCTCTGCTGCTAGGCTCACCAGGACATCTGGGGGCTGCTGATTCCCAGAACCCCAGTGAACGACACCGGAAATTTTACTCAACCCACTCAGGCCTGTTGCCAGATTCGTGCTCCCGGGCACTGTTGGGTGTGGGCACTGCTGGCTTCCCCATGCTGTCAGCTTCCAAGTCCCTGAATGTCCTCCCCACCCCAGGAACCTTCGGGTAGCCTTTTGCAGCCAGGGCTCTTGATCCCAGTGAAATGTGCACCTACTGTGTGCCAGCCTGGTGGTAAGCTGCAGTTTAGCCCTTCCCACCAGAGCTGCAGACCCAGGCTGTGTGTGTGAATGTGCTTTGTAAAGTGTGTGGTGGTGACCAATTGTAAGAGAAGGCTACAGAAGAACCGCCCTGCCCCACCCTGTCCTCCCCCGGTGATACTCCCAGTGGTGATACTCCCAGAGGGAAAAGAGGGGAGTGAGCCCAGTCGTCCTGAAGAAGCAAGCTGCTTCTCTTTCTGGCTACCCCTGCCTGCCATCTCCGGCCCCCTCAGCACCTCAGGGACCCTCCTGAGCTATAAGGTGGGCTGAGAGAGTGCAGCTGAGCAGAAGCTATTTGGGACCTAGAGAATTCTAACCTGCCCTTTGGACTCACAGCTGAGTTAGAGGTCATAGGGAAACTGCAGGGTCACAGCCCTGACCTGGGTCTCATTTTATAGATGAGATGCTTGAAACAGACCATGGGGGCACATGCCCAAGTGACACTCTGCCTTCTCAAAGCTGAACTGTTGTTCCCACCATGCCACTTATTGGGGGTTTTCCTCTAATATTTCATTATGCAAAATGTCACACACACAGCAGAGTTGAGTTTTGCTGCGAACAGATCAAATACCCACCGTGTCAGGTGTGCCCTGCTCTTGCTTTGTCATATCCCTGGCGGTCCACCTGGCCATTCCTATCCTTTGGCCATTCCTATCCTTTGGCCATTCCTACACTTCAGAGTAAAACGAAAACAACAGTGTGTTTCTTCAGTGGGGGGTTGTTATAATGTAATGCATGTTTAAGCAATTCAAAAATGTATTTAAAAAATTTTCTCTTCTCATCTCCTCTCCTCAGTCATTACTAAAGTGTATCCATCCAGACTTTTTTTCTATGCTTGTATAGACATGTATATGTACAAATATTTAAATATGCGTGGTATCTGGTTTTCAAAAAAATTGGGATTATACCTTTTTAGCTCATCTGCCACTGGCCACATTTGGAGTCTGAGGTTACACGATATTTGCAGACTGGCTGTGCGCCAGCTGCTTTTTCTGTTTGTGTTGCCCTTTCAGCCAGCCCTGGGTTAGGCAGTTCCTAGCAGACAGAGGAAAGCCCATAGGTTGTCCTGGTAGACAGGAGCCGACACTGGCAGTGCTCACAGCTCAGCACAGCACAGGGACTTCAGTTCTGATCACTTCTGTCTTAGGTTTTTCCCCTCAGGCTTACTGGTGCGAGGGCTTGGGGTCGCCCTAGCCTTCTAGGCCATGAAGAATCCTTATTTTATGGGCCTCAAATGTTTCCCTTCCCACCAATGTGATCAAAAGGTAGAGAAACAGCAGTGGGGGAATGTGGCCAAGCAGAGGGTTCCAGGCCTGCACCCCAATCATGACCATCTCTCAGGCAAGAAGCCTAGGTATCATTGATGGTGTTCACAAGCAATTAAACTGTTTTCGTGCAAGGACTTGGTCGTGCTTGGAGCTCTCTTCTTATCTGTAACCTCACTTATCTGGTGAGTAAATGTTGTGACTCTGTGGTAAATGTTGTACTGGACATTAAAAATGTCCGAGGGCAGATCTCACGTTAAGTTATCTTCTCTCTCTCTCTCTCTCTCTCTCTCTCTCTCTCTCTCTCTCACACACACACACACACACACACACACACACACACACACACACACACACACACGAAAAGGAAAAAGGAACCCCTTTACCCACTGAACAATCACTACTCATTTCCCCAGCCCCTGACTGCTTTTTGTCTCTGAATTTATGTATTCTGGCCATTACATATAAATGGAATTACACAACAGGTGGCCTTTCGTATTTGCCTTCTTCCATTCAGCATATTTTCAAGGTTCACCTGCATTGTCGTTTGTATCAGTTCTTCATTCCTTTTCATGGCTGAGTAATATGCCATTGTATGGCTGCACTGCATTTTGTTTATCCTTTCATCAGCTTGGTGGACATTTGGGTTCTCTCTGTTGTTGGGCGATTAAGAATCACTGCTGCTGTGGAAGTACATGGGCAAGTATTTGCTAGAGCATCTGTTTCTTTCTTTCTTTCATTCCATTCATTCCTATTTTATTTTTCCAAGCCAGAAATCAGTGCTCTTGATCTATGTGTATGTTTAGGGGAAAATTCTATTCAGGGAAAATTTGCCTTATGCTGCCTCTACTCCAGGTCTATCCCTCTCCATCACCCAGTTTTCATTCTCCATCACCCAGGCCACTTCTTTGGTGATTAATCCCATTTTGTCTTTGGATAATGAGTGTGTGGTGTACATCTTGGGCTGCTGTGTCCCCCACGGAACCTAGCATAGTTGGGTGACCTGAGCTGTTCCTAGACCCATGCTTGCTGTGTGCATCCTGTTTGCCAGCAGCTGACCCTTTCCTGCTATCTGTCCTCTGTTCCCCTCTGCAGATGATGTGCTGACTAAAGATGCGGGTGAGTGTGTGATCTGCCTGGAGGAGCTGCTTCAGGGGGACACGATAGCCCGGCTGCCCTGCCTGTGCATTTATCACAAAAGGTAAGAAAGACCACTGGGTATGCTCAGCCATATCCCAGATCCTTAAGTCTGGAAGAATCCATAGTCACTCTGTCTCTTTTGGTTGTGGGACAACCCACCTCCTACCCCAGGGCTCTGACTGGGATGGAGTCAGAGACCAGCAAGCTTAGCACAGGCAGAGTCGAATTGCTGCAGGTTTTTCTCTAGTTCCAAGGCCTGAATGATAGGGGCCTTCAAGTAGCTCTATGGAAACCCATAGGTAAAAGCTCTCAGGATCCCACTTGGAAGGTTGATTCCCACTCCTAGGAACTGCAGTTCCTAGTGCATGGACACCCTCCCGGTGAGGGGGTGCAGAGGGGTAGGAGAGGCAGGTGGGATGGGCTTATGGCCCTGCTCTTGCCCTCTTTCCTCCCCCTACCCTCAAGGTCAGGAGGACGGAATAGCCACTACCTGTGCGGCCTGGCACTGAAAGCTGCTATAATTAGAAGGGCCAAGATTGTCCTCCCAGCCTGAGCCTCCTATTTCCAACTGGAAAGAAGACACCTCCTTATGGAGCCAGGAGGATCTCTGTTCTGCCTGTGGCTGCCACCTGCTCTCAGCTCCTGGGGCCCCAGAACTTCTTCCTGATACATGGGCTTTTCTAAAGCCTGGCTTGTGGGGTTACTGGCCACCCAGTTATTGTGGTGCCCGGTGAAAAGATGGGAAGGCTCAGGGCTGGCCTGAGGGAGGGGTGTTGGGCTGGGCTCAGTACTGAGGGCACCAGCCCCAACCAGGAAAAGAGAATCTTTGACCCTGGAGGAGAATTATGCAAATTATCTGTCTGGTTCCCTTTCTTTGAAAATACCCAGTTGTTGATTTACAAAGTCAAAAACTTGTCTTGGGGCTGTGCATTCCCTCTGATTCAGTGGGTCCTTTCTGTAAACCTTAGAGACCAGGGTTTCCTGTCAGTCTCCCGCCCTGTCACCAAGCCTGAGGAGCCAGTCCTCCTTCTACCTCCTCTGGGAAGGAGTAGATACCAGCTTGGCAGCTGACTGAGCAAGGTAGAGATTGGGGGTCTCTAAGAAGTTATCCACCAAGAAGGGAGTCTCCTGGCTGCTCCTTAGGCCTGAGAGGGCTCTCGGGACCTCAGCACTCAGAGCCAAGGCCAGCCTGCTTTGTGCCCCTGCCCCACCCTCCAAGCCCAGGGGGAGAGTTGACTGGCTGCCCTGCGTGGTCTGCTGCACTCTCACCTTCCCTCAAGTAGCAGTCGCCACCCTCCTGGACCCCCTGCAGCTCAGGCATTGGTTCCCTTCAAGGTCACACTCACCACTTCTGTAGCACCCAAATCCTCCTCACCTGTACTCAGCCAGGTCAGGGTGGCTGCCCTGGCTGAGCCAGGGGGTGAGCCTTGGTATTCCCCCTTCTTTCTGCTTCAAAAAGCGCTCTTCTGCGGGGGTCCTCACAGGAGAGCTTTAGGAAAGCCCGGCCCTTGGAGCGCGCCCCCTCGGGAGCCGCCTGCTCAGCAGTAATGTGTTTCCCTTGCTACCTCCTGCTTCAGTTGCATAGACTCGTGGTTTGAAGTGAACAGATCTTGTCCAGAACACCCTGCGGACTGACCCTGCCGGGCTCGCTTGCTGACTCCTCTCAAAGGTGAGCCTGTGGTTGGGGGTACTCTGGCCTCTAGGTTTGGAGTCCAGTCACTCTGGTCCTGGAAGTGGGGGGGTGTGTGGCTGAGCTGCCCTACACTTGCACTAGCAGTGATGACATGTAAACTCACAGGTTTATGAAGAAGCTGCTCTGTAGAGTTAGATTAGTGGAGGAAAAACCAGTTTATTGCAGATGTCTAGGGCAGACGTCCCTGAACAAAGTTCAGAGGATCCCCTCGGAATATGCTGGGTGGAGAAACAAAAGAAGCTGGGTTTGCACCCCATGTCTGCCTAGTGCTTGCTGGGTGCCTAGGGCAAGTCCTCACCCTCGGGGTCTCTGCTTCTTTGAGGACAGGGGGATAATCTCACTCCCCGTACTGTATGGACATTGCACCCATTAAACGAGACAGTCTGGGACGGTGCCCGGTGCCCTGCAGTGCTTGTCAGTGATCCTTTCACTGCTGGTTCTTCCTACCAGCAGGCCACTACCCTCAGACCCGCTTCCAGATGAATCTGAGGCCTGCAGGCTAGACTCAGCCCCATCCACCCCACAGCACAGGTTCCCGATGGCACAGCAGGCTGGCCCAACCGACTGCCATGCACCTCCCCCCAACCACCTGTTCCCCTACATCACCATCTGCTCTGACTTCTCCACGTCCTCCCCAGGGCACCTTGTTTTACTGCTGACCACCCCCTCCTGTGCCCCATCCTACCTGGCCCTTCTAAGTCCTGGGCCGGCAAACAGACAAAACCCCCAGTAAACCCAAAACCCTGACTCCACCTCATCTCATATCCAAAGGTTTGGGGGCCTCTCTTTCTCTTTTTTTTGTTTTGTTTTCTCTCGTTCTTTGTTAGGTTTATTTTATTTATTCCAAGTAAACTCCCAGAACAGCTGATGATGTCAGACAAATCAGGGACATTTGCTCTTTTTACCTTCACCTCAAAAACTGAGGACCTGGGGAGAAGAAACAGCGAGGGTGAGAGAGAGGCAGAGGGCGCGCGCCCCGGCGCTGGAGTGCCAGTGCACATTGCCAGCATGCTGTGTGGCTTTGGGGTGCGCCCCAGACCGGAACCACAGACACCCCTCCTGGCCTGCGAGCCAGCTCGGCCCGATGGAGCACGACTTACGTGTTACGGTCCACGCAGGGACAGAGCCAGCCCCTGTTCCCGAGAGGAAGCATTGGACACGGGGGCAGCGCGGCCCTGGGGACACCAGTGGGAACTGGCAGCCCTTCCGCACTGACTCCAGAGAATGGTTCTCCCTTTCTCCCTGAGGACACCAAATTGAAGGAGAGCGAGTTTGAGAGAAGAAGGAATCAACCGCTGTCCTTCCCCTCACCCCTCATCCCAGGAGGGAAAGGGCCTTTTCTTTTTCACCTCTGAAAGGCATTGTGGGTCTGTCTCTACGTGTTTACAAAAAAAAAAAATATATATAAAAAAAGTCTAGTGTCGACTGGTGTTTTCCCTCGTGATGTTTACAGATTGCTGTCTGCTGCCCAGCTAGAACTCACTCAGTGACAGACACGTGCCGAGCCCGGTTCTCGCCGCCGAGTTCCGATGGCCGGGAGCAGACACCCGCGGCCTCCTCGTGCCCGGCGCCCCATCGGCCCTCTCCGTCACCAACCGCCTGGCCTTGGTTTCTTTTTCCCATTTTCCTGACTTGGTTTTGCACTTTCCTCCACTTGGGACCCCGATATCTTGACTTCATTGCCAAAAAACAACCACCCACCGAGGACCTTCTCCCCTGCCATCCCCATGTCTTCTCCCTTCTTTCCTCCTGGTTCTGGGCAGTTCAGAGGATGTAACAATCACAAGTGTCCTGCAAAAATGCCTGAACATTTTTCTTAGACCCTTGTGGATTTTTGTTTTCCAGAAAACTTAAACAAAAAAACTTACTAAAGGAACATGTACAGCTACCAGTTTGAGAACATTTTCAGGCGCTCTGTTCGAGAACATTTTAGCCATTGATGTTCACATGTGGCATCAACCCATGCAAGATAGGTTTCTGTATTTATATATTAAAACACACACACACACACACACACACACACGACCTTATAAAAATGTTTAAAAAATGTTCAAAGCTTGGGGGAAAAGCTTTCTTCATTAGTCAAGGTGTTTTGATATGGTATTAAAATAATGTCTAATAAAAGCTACACCGTGTGACTTTATTTTAATGAAGTATTGTTACACAATCAAGCCATGGGGTGGAAGGCCCATCCCCACTCCCTCACCTACCTCCTTCACCTTCCTCCAGGCTCCTGCTCTGGGCTACAGGTGTGTGAAGAGTTCTCAGCAGTCATACCTGGCTAGGGGGAAGGTGGCAGGTCAGACCTGAGTCCTGCAGGTTTACTAACCCTCTCAAGCATCATGGACATCATCTGCCATCACCAGTGGAATAGTTGTGATGGAATTCTTCTGGAAAGATCTGCAGAGGCAAAGAGTGCAGCCATTGGAGGCTGCAAGGATATGGGTTCTTTTGGGTATTCGCCCTGAGCCCCCCCTTTTCAACTTCAGCTCCCCATCCCACGTCCTGCCCTGCCTGTTGCTCAGCTCACATCTCAGTGCTGACTCATGGCATGCTCCCTGGAGGCTCTGGTTTGGGGCTGTGCCAGCTCAGAGCCCTTGAACTAGAACCCGGCACTCAGGACTCACAGCAGTTGGCAGACCTCTGCTGGGGAAAAACGCTCAGGGCAGGGGCCAGTGGTGCATGCCCAGCCTCTGTCCCTGTGCCAGACAGGCTCCGAAGTGGCATTCCAGGGCCTCCTGCAGAGCCTGTGAAGGAAAGCTCTAGAGGGAGAAGACCACCTCTGCTTGGCCCTACTCCTTCTCAGACCTGCTCAGTGCTGTTGCTTCAGTGGGCACTGACCTTTCCAGGTCCTGGCTTAAGGATCGTCTTCCATCAAATGCTTCCAGAAGCACCTATTCTGCAAGGGTGTTGCAGACTGGTGAACAGAGGTGCGCCAGGCAAGTTCAGAGAGATTCTAAAGGACATTTTGTGGGGTCTATCTCACCACCTGGGGTGAGACCCCAAGGATGACAGTCTGCGAGCTGCAAGAACATGGGCACCAGACTGCCTACAAGAGGGCTCCTCTACTTGGCAACGCTCTTGGGGAAATGACTTCATCTCAACTTCAGATTCCTCGCATGTGAAGTGGGGACAAAGTCACGCAGCAGCTCAGAGGTCACCACGAGAGACAGATTCTGCCCAGAAGCCCCTGGCACGCACATAGCAGGCTCCCTAGATGCTTTGTCACCGCAAAGAGCACTGTTCTATTCGCAGTACCTCCCGCTTCTGCCTGGCAACTGTGTCTCCCTGTTCTATATTTAATTCCTCCCTCCAGCAAAGCTAGCCCCGAAGATCTCCTTGCCTGACCCCTGGGCTGTAGGCGGAGGCCTGTGTGCCCACCTCAGTGGCCTAGGCCCAGCAGCCTTGGCAGCGCCTTGAGTGAACTGAGTGGTCATGAGCTGGGCGAGCTGGGCGGGGCCGGGCAGGAGCCCACGCTGGGTGCTATTCCAAGCTCCTGGGGCTGGTGCTGATCCCTCCCCTCCCCCCCCACCCCCCACTCCCCATGACTTCCACTCCACCTGGCACGCTGCAGCCCTCTGCTGGCTGCTGCAGCCTCTGAATTCAGACCCAAATTGGGATGGGGTGGGACCTGGGATTGTCCGGGATTCCCAGGTGGAACTAGTATGTCATCCTCCACCTTAGGGCCCTCCAAGCTCTGCTTTTTCTGGGAGGGGAGAGAATCCACAGGAGTGATGAGATGGGTCCCACCCACTCCCTCTGCTAAAGACCAGCACCCATTGCTGTCCTTCCTGGTTGGAAGCACCTCACTAAGACCATTTATCTAGTAGCCACTTAATGGTGTTGAACTTTTGGGAGAATGTCCTTATTCTTAGGAGGTAGATACTGAATTATATATTGAATGACATCAAGAAATGGGGAACTTAATTCCAAATGGTGCCCCCAAAAGTACACACACAAAGCAAGTAAGGCAAAACTATTCATTGTTAAATCTTCAGTAGCTGGTATTTCAGTGAACAGTGAGTGTACTTGTTCTTTCAATTCTGTATGTCTGGAATTTTTCCTAATAAAAAATTGTGGGGAAATGGCCATTTGCTGAGCGCCTACTAGTTGCCAGGCATTGGAGGGGGCATGGAGGAGAACCCTGCCTAGGAGGGGAGAACCTGCCTCCACAGCTCTCCCCTGGGAGGCAGGCCCTGTGGAAGGGCAGGCCCTGGAGAGCTGGGGACAGCCAGATGGGTCATGATTGGGGGAGTTGGGGAGGGAGTTGGTGAGAACTACCCCATGCCACCCCTTGGCACAGCTACTGGTTATGTTCAGGCATCTGGCGGGGAGGGGGTGGGTAGAAACGTGTTCCCCAGAGGACTGTCCTCAAGGCTCAATCTTTAAATGCAGGGGTTCCGCAGAGGGCTCTCTCTTCCCAGGCTGATACAGCTGGTGGCAAGAGATGTGGAGGGGCTAAGAGGGTGGGCTGGGAGGACCTGGGAGGTGGCTGGGGGAATGGGCATGAGGCCAGATGGAGGTACTGCTGGCTCCCCTGCAGTGCCACCCAGTGCCTCTCCTCTGCCAGGAGCAGAGGCTGGGTATGAGGGAAATGAGCCTGCGTGATAGGTTCCTGGAGCCTGCCGGAGGGCAGATTGACTCCCAGAATGCCAGGCCTCTCCCCAGCTTTGGGAAGTGGGCGTTGGGGCTAAGATCTGCATGCCATGGACAGACGTGCACCCAGGCCCAGGAGTCATTGGCCAGAGCAGATGCTGCGGTGTCTTGAGTTTTGTGGTGCCGGGCGCCCTCTTGTGGGTTTAGGGGGAACAACTGCCAAGTACCCTGGTGGAGTGACTGGTCCAAGCCTTGAGCAGGCCCTGGGGTGCACAGATCCTGAGTGGTGGCAAAAATAGCTGGAAGGGTAAGACATCACACCATGGAGATACGGTCCAAGGAGCAACCATCTTCAATGATTGGTAGCAGCCGCTTGAAGAACACATTCTGAATGGTCTGTGGTCCAATTCAGGTTCAGTGGGGGAGCCTGTCATAAGTGCTGTTGACCAGGACCAAGTTCTGAAGCCATGGGGTTCTCACGGGGGGGGGGGGGGGTTGGTTGCTGGCGCAGGGACCTACTCTCTGAAAGTGGCCTGCCTTCTGAAGCCCTCTCCCTTCTCCCCCCACCCCCCAACCCCTCCCTCCTGCAATAAGTTAGAGGGCGGACTTGGGACACCTCACAGGCAACCTGGCGGAGGAGCGGAGGACGGCCCGGGAGGTCATTTACAGATGCTGTCACCTCATCTCCAGACAGCTGCAGATGGGGTTCAGGTTTATTGGGGGCTCAAGGAGGACAGGAGTATTCTGTCACCTGGCAGGTGGAATAGGGCTGAAGATGTTGGGCCCCTCAGGTGTTGTCCTGGGGCTGGGGGCGGGGGAGGGGGCTGGGGGCTAGACAGGGAAAGGCGGCTGAAAGTCCTGATAGAGGCTGGGCCAAGGTGGAGCCAATCTGTGGCATGAAGAAAGCTCCCAGAACAGGAGGTACCTTTGTCTGGAACATTGTCCAAGTGCTCAGAACTCCTCACAGCACCTTGCCTGGGTTCATGAGGCCTCGGGGATCCAGCATGGCTTTGAGCTGCCGCATGGTCGCCACGCCTACAGCGCCCACCTCCTCCTGCAGCAGCTGCTGCTTGCCCAGCCCGATGCCATGCTCCCCAGTACACGTCCCATGGAGTGCCAGTGCCCGCCTAGGGGCAGAGAAGAGCTGCTCAGTGGGGGTGGGGAGCTCTTCCTACTTCCCTCAGCTTTCCCCCCACCTCCACTCCCTAGGCTTTGCTGACCTGCCCAGCCGTTTTGCAAAGGCCTCAACCCTGTGGAGCTCCTCAGCATCCTCTGGGTCTACCAGCAGGATGCAATGGAAATTGCCATCGCCAACATGCCCAACGATGGTTCCTGGGGACACAGAGGACAGAGCTGTCTTCCCCCAGCCCAGCCCTTCCCCAGCCGGTGGGCCCCAGCACCCCCTCAGCCCCCACACCTCCCTCCAGCAGAAGACAGCACACCTATAATTCCAGAGGCCTTCAGGTCCTCCTTGGCCTGCACCAGGATCTCTGGCAGCCGGGAGATGGGTACACACACATCAGTGGAATAGCCCTAGGTCAGGGACAGGCTCATGAGATTCTCCCCTTACCCCCACCCACCGCCTGCCAGGAGGTAAGGAGTCACTGTGGTCAAGGATAAGAAGGGTCCTGTTGTAGACTTCCACCTTGTTGCCCACCCCCTACTACCTGTAGGCCTTGCCAGCACCTCCCCTACAGGTCTTTAGCACTTGCTGCCTGGAGCCCAATCTCCCCTAGTTATTGGCATCACCTCTTTCTCCAGGAAGCCTTCCTTGGTGTACATAAGGCCTGAAAGCACCGCACTGCACCTGCTTCATCCCCGAGCCCATGGCTTGCTTGCCCTCTAGATTGTCAGGGGTAACAGCAGGTGGGGGCAGTCCTGCCTGCTGTGGGCCTCAGTCAGCTGCTTGGGCGGCGGTAGTGGATTGAGGAAAGGGTCTATGGGCTGCGTCTTGGGCCCACTTCCACCCCGACCTGTCTTACTTTGCTGCCGGGCCGCAGGGCCAGGGTCGAGTACCAGGCGTTGTGCCTTGCTGTCCAGAGCCGGCTTCGTTCCTCAGCCTCCTTGGCCCAGGAGAAATGGAAGGCTCCATTGTGCTGGGTAATCTCTTCTGTGGGGGCCGGGGTTGACACTGTACCCTACTCTGGGGTAGCCTGTGCACCACCCCACCCTGCCAGCACCTGCACCCCCAGCACCCAGCATACCTGTCCGCTTCAGCTGCTCGCTTAGCACCTGCTGCGAACCATGGAACTCCAGGAAGAGCGTGGGCGCCACGGAGCAGTTCAGCTTGCTATACTTGTTGCAGGCGTCCATCATGACATCATCTAAGAACTCTGGGACCAAGCAGAAGGGAGGACAAGTGAGGCCTGGCCTTCAAGAGGGCCCTCATCCAGGGAGCTCCCCTAGACGGCCGAGCGCGGCTCACCAATGCGGGCCACGGGCACTGCAGCCTGGAGAATGTGTACGGTGCTGTCCACGGCTGCCTGGACACTGGGGAATGCACAGGTGGCGACCACGGTGGCCTCGGGGGCAGGGTGCAGGCGCAGGGTGGCAGCTGTGATGAGTCCTAGGGTCCCCTCGGAGCCCACAAAGAGTCCAGTAAGGTTGTAGCCAGCGGCGCTCTTCCTGGATACACAAGGTGGGTGCGTGCCCAAGTCATGCGACCACGGACTTCGGGTCAGAGGCCTGGAGTGCTGTGCCTGAGACCTGAGCGCGCGCCTTGGCCCGCGTCCCTTGGCACCACAGCTGCCCGCTCCAAGGCCCAAGCCCACCTCATAAAGGAAGAACAAACCCCAGGAAGGTCCAACGGGGCCCTCAAAAGTCCAGCCCACCTATCCTGGAGGCCCCCACCGCCACCGTGGGTAGGGGGCGCTCCTGAGAAACTGAGGTGGGAGCTCCCCGCAAGTGGTGGGTTGCAGGACGCTCACCGGAAGTGACGGCCTGGGCCCGCAGTGTGGAGCAGGCGCCCGTCTGGCAGCACCACCTCCAGGTTCAGGACATTGTCCCGCATGGTGCCATAGCGCACAGCGTTGGTGCCCGAGGCCGAGGTGGCCGCCATGCCGCAGAGAGAGGCGTCCGCACCCGGGTCTGCAGGACAAAGGGCAGCCTGGGGCGAGCTCCTGGAGAAGGAGGGTGCCCCTCAAGGCCCAGAAACAGCCCTGCCATCAGGGAGCCCCCAGGGCCCAGGGAAAGACCTGGAGTTCAGCGTACCCACAGGAAACCAGAGGCCGCTGTCCCGCAGGTAGGTGTTGAGAGCTTTGCGGGTGACACCGGGCTCCACCACCACAGAGAAGTCTTCTGGATTCAGCTCCAGGATTCGGCCCATGCGGGTCAAGTTGACGCAGACACCACCCTGGCAGGAGGGGTGCCAAGGGGCCTACTGACCTGGGTGTCCTAGTCTGCAGCCGCCAGAACCTCGCCACAAGGCCAGCCTCCCACAGCCAAATGCAGCCAGGGATGGCAGGTGAGGAGGGCTGGACCTGGCCACCTCAGATTTGACAAGTGTGGGGAGACCATTGGCTGGGTGGGGGAGGGGCCACCATACCTGCACAGCACAGACTCCACCCTCAAGCCCGGTGCCGGTGCCAAATGGGATGATGGGCACACCGTGGTTATAGCATAGGGCTGCCAGCTGGCTGACCTGTTCCGAATTCTGGGGCCACACCACGGCATCTGGAGGTTGGCACCTAGAACCAGACCTTTGGCAAATTAGGGGTGCATGGTAGCCTCTGGGCCAGCTCCAGCTTCAAGGAACCTGAGGGTGTTGCAGGGCTGGAGCCGTGCATGGGAGAGAGGGTGAGAACATCCTTCAGGATGGGTGTGGAGGAGAGGTGAAGAGTGCCAGAGCACCCCAAAACAGCTGGGTGGGGAGGAGGATAGCCCAGGACCCTAACTCATAGCCGGGTGCCTCTGACTGGAAAGGGGGGCCCATGAGCTCCCCCATACCTGTGCATTGACTCATCATGCCCGTGCTGCTCTCGGGCAGCAACAGCAGTAGACACGTTGGAGTGCCCCACGATTTCCCTCAGAGCCTCTACAAAGCCTTTGCTGAGTTCTCTCTGTAGGAAACATATTCCTGGAGTCACTGAAGGACACTGGGACCAAGGCTCTGCCCATGTGGTAGAAGGGAGGGGTAGGGCTGGTGAGGTGGAACACACACAGGCATACATACCCCACACACCACACACACACACACACACACACACACACACACGCCCACCACACACCCCGCCCCCAAGGCCTCGGCACACCCCATCTACAGGAATGTCCCTTTCCCAAACAGAATCATTGGAGTCTGTGTTTCACTTCAGAAAATCCCCACCTGGATGAAAATAAAAGCCAAAGTCACGCTACAAAAAGGATGTCAGTGGAGTTCCAGATAGTAGCCAACCCTGCCTGAGAGTCTTGGAAAGGTTGAAAGGAAAACTGGAAGGAGAAGCTTCATTGCCCATCAACGGAGGCACCCCCACCCCTACCCAGGGCAGTGGCCAGTACCCAGGCACCCCCACCAACTCCAGGGCAGTGGGGAGGTGCTGAGCTCTTTACATAAGGGGAAAGCAGGCCAGCAAGCCAGGGACAGGGTAGCTAGAACCCAGATCCTTACCTCCAGGAATTCTTTCAAAACATGTGTTACTACTTGGGAGTCCCAAGGGGCAGCCCTGGAGACCCCACACCTTTCATTGCACACCCAGAAGCCCCACTAGTGGCATCTGTGGGGGCCCTTACTCGACACCGACACTTGACACAGGGTGAGCCAGTGAGCCTCTGCTCAAGGTCACACAATGGGGGGGGGGGAGCACAGAGTTTGGTGGGAACTTGGCATCGGGCTCCCCACCTACCTACCTGCATCCCCTTGGAGCAGTAGCTCCTCCAGGGGACTAGCCCCCGGGTAGCAGCCCGGAGCAGGCAGGCCATAGCTGAGCAACTGCACAAATCAGGTGGACTGGTGGCTGCACCAGCCCATTGGCTATGCTGGGGGTGGGGCCTGCTTAAGGTAGTGCAGCCTTAAGGTGGCTCTGCCAGACCTTGCTGAGTCAGGTAGTCTAGTGGGCACCAGGGTCTGTACTTCTAAAAGAGAGGTGGGGGTTACTTGACACAAAGGAAAACAGGATAGGAGCCACTCTCTTGCTTAAATCTCTGCAGTGACTTCCTTGGTCTTTCAAACATATGCTGACTGCTTGCCTTGAACTTAAAGGCCCAGCTAGTTTTCCTTACCCTTCCTTCCTTCCAGTCTCCTCTGGACTCCAAACCCCGGTTTGGAGTTTGGAGGGCAAACTCAGTTCCTTTATATACTGAATCACAGCCAGGCTCTGGTCTTGGCACATACTCCCTCTGCCTGGAATGGTGTCTGCTCTCCACATGGCTAGTTCTTTCTCAGCCTGCACATCTCAGCTCCAGGGTTATAGAGTAGACCACAATCAGGACTATGAGGAGGAGAGCACAGGGAGGCCCTTTGGGGATGGAATGGAGTAGGGCAATGAAGCAAGCCAGGAAAACTTCCTGGAAGAAGAGAGCTAAGGTTGAGCAGCAGATAAGTGAGGGAAAAACCCTATCTGTCCCTTCCGTCTCCACTCCCTCACTGTGCAGAACCCAGAATCATCCCAGAGTGATGGGGTTTTTACTTTTGAAGGTGTTTCAAGCTCAGTTTTCTTCCCATAGCATATTTGAAGATTCATTTTTTTTTTTAAGGATTTATTTATTTATGCATACAAGAGCTAGGGTGTAGACCAGAGGTGGGGGGAGGGGGAGGTTGAGAGGATTCACCACAGAGTGGAGAGCAGAACAGGTGGATCCATTGACATACACTGCTGAGGGGAGCAGTAGGCAAAGTAGGAGAGGTCTGCTGCACCATGTGGGTAGCTCCCTGGCCAGGGATCAAACTTGTGCTGTAGTGGCTGCCAATAGCTTCATCGTGCTGAGACTTAACCCCTTGGGCCACTAGGGAGGTTCTTGAAGATGCATGTTATTAACATCACTGAGAAAAGAGCTATTTAAAGCTTTGTTAGTCTAAAACAAACTGGTCCTCATCTAGTCCTGGGTTCTGGGTAAGACAGTCATTGTGACCTCAAGACATCAAGTTACTGTGTGACCAGAGATAGCCAACCCATCATGATCTGCACTTGGTCAGCTCCATCAAGTCATAATGTCAGGCAAGTCCAAAGCAATCCATTACTAGATGATAGGAAAACAAAGAAAACCGGACTTAAGTAGAGTCAGAGGGCAAAGTAAGCCACAGGAGTTGTTGGGCTCAGACACCCACCTCCTATATCCTCCGTTGCTGGGCCAGCACCTCTCTCGAGCTCATACCTATGCCATAAGGGGGAGCGCTTATGACCAGCTGATAGAGGAGAGAGTTCCAGCTTGACTCATGAAAGTGTTGGTTCAATATGAGGATGTAAGCTGAAATGGACTGCTGCTACACTACAGCGCCACTCGGTAGCCCTGAAATTCTTCTCATTGGCAGGTCAGACATCTAGTCATCCCCTTTTGTAGGAAAATATAGTGACCTAATAGTGGAAGGTATATTGGGGCCTCCCTGGTGGCATAGCGGTTAAAGACAGCGCTATGAAGCTATCGCCAGCCACTGTAATATGAGTTCAATCCCTGGCTAGGGAAGTGACCACATGGTACAGCAGACCTCTCCTGTCTCGCCTGCTGCTCCCCTCAGCAGTGTATTCCAGTAGATCTGCCTGTTCTGCTCCCCACTGTGTCTTGGGTGTAGAAGGTATATGGATCCCATGGAAATGGTGGACAGCTTAATTAGTTGATCAGGGGCCTAGGAAGAAAAAGATGGGCAAATGTGTGTGCAGAAGGTTTGGAGAAGCAGCATATAGACTGACCACAGGAGCAAGCACAGAGAGTTTTATATGACTTGTTAAAGCCCTATGGGAGCGAGTAAACAAAGTAGATAACATGATTTAGCCAGTTGTCATGGGCCTGCCTTTGTCCAGGACCACCCCAGGCCTGGCACATTGGTGGGAGGGCTGGAAGCTAATACTGGGCCCTCTAGGATGGGCACAGGCTCACTAACGCTGACCCAGCTGCTGCCACTGCTGCACAGACCAACACTGAGCCCCCACGTGACGCCTTTCCTTAAGGAGTCCAGCCAGCCACTTGGGAGCAAGTTAAGTTGGACCCCTTCCACTCTGGAAGAGAAGCACTTTATCTTTTTTTTTTTTTTAAGATTTTTATTTATTTATGCATACAAGAACAGAGGTACGGGGGTGAGTGGACTCACCAGAGTGGGGAGCAGAACAGGCAGATGTACTGAAATACACTGCCGAGGGGAACAGCAGGTGACAGGAGAGGTCTGCTGTGCCATGTGGGTCAGCTCCCTGGCCAGGGATTAAACTCAATCTGCAGTGGCTTCAGATAGCCTGATAGTGCTGAGACTTAACCCCTTGTGCCACCTGGAGGTCCCAGGAAGCACTTGACGTCAATTGAAATCAGTGTAGCACATGTTATGGGTATGGATCTGCCTCCTCTGCCTGCCTGGCCTCAGTCAGCTCCATTGCCTGAGGCTCACAAAGCGTTTGAGCACCACATAACATCCCCTCAAGCCAGGCAACCTACTTCTTTAGCGAAAGAGGTGCAGTAGTGGGCAGGTGATTTCAGGATCACTCACGTGTACTACACCTTCCCGAGGCCACGGCCTGACAGAACAATTGAAGGAATAGCTTTTGGAAGGTGCAGCCACGGCACGAGATGGAGGTGTCTCTAGTCAAGCATAGGACCAGGAGAAGAAGACACTTTTATATGAGTAACAAATGAAGGATGAGTACCCAGATTATTTTTAGCTTTTTATTTTGACATAATTTTATACTTATAGAAAACTTACAAAGTAGTACAGGTTATTCCTATACATCCTTCAGATAGTTTTCACCAATGTTTATGTTGTACAGGCAGTTATCAAAACTAAGAATTGGTAAACACTGATTGGTATAGTTAGAGAATTGGTGCAGTTATTAAACTACAAATCTGATTTCACTTATTTGTGAAATCAAATAAGTATCAAAATCTGAAAAACTAACAGTATCAAATGCTGACAAATACACAGAGTAACAGGAACGCTCATTCCTTGCTGGTGGGAATGCAAAATGCTACAGTCAATTTGGCAGCTTCTTACAAAGCTAAGCATTCTTTTACCATATGATCCAGCAATCACATTTCTAGACATTTACCCAAATGAATTGAAAACTTAATGCCTATTCAAAAACCTACACACAAATGTTTATATCAGCTTATTCATAGTTTCCCAAAACTAGAGACAGCCAAGATGTTCTTCCAAAGAACATCAACTATATAATTGAATAAACCAACTGTATATAGTTCATTCATGCAGTGGAATATTAGTTGACTGAAAAAAGAAATGAGCTATCCAGTCCCAAAGAGATGGAGGAATCTTAAATATATATTGGTAAAGACATCAGTGTGAAAAAGCTACATACTCTGGGATGCCAACCTTGTGACATTCTGCAAAAGAAAAAACTAGGAAGACGACAAAAAAAAAACAGTGAATGACCAGAGGTTTGAGGTGGTAAAAATACTCTGTGTGATACTGTAGTGGTGGATATATAACATTATGCAGTTTTCCAAAACCTATAGAACATTGAAGTGCAACACTATTTATAATAGCCAAGTTATGGAAACAGCCTAAATGCCCAACAACAGAGCAGTGGATTAAGATATGGTATACATACACAACGGAATATTACTCAACTATAAAAAAGGATAAACTGTGCCATTGTGATAACATGGGTGGAATTGGAGGGTGTTATGCTAAGTGAAATAAGTCAGGAGAAAACAAATACAGTTTTATGAATATGTAGAAAAACAAGACAAAGGAACTGACAGAACTAAAGAAATGAAAATAAGGCCTAGAAATATGATTGCAGAATTGAGGCTACTAGAGGGGGCGGGGGAGAGAGAGGGTATAGGCAGGAGGGGGCCCAGAGTCTAGGGTAAGGGATTCTGGGTGCCATGTGGTGGGTGTGGTCCAGTGACATACATCAGAGGAAGTGTGACCGTTGAATCATACACAGTGCTGTAAACCAATGTTGCCACAATAAAGAAAATAATATATTTGAAAAAAAAAAAAACTTTAGAATTTTACAATGTCAAGTATGAACCTAGTACAGGCAAATTAAAAAAAAAATCATTTAGGAAAATGGGTGGATTCCAGTAAAGAATGTGGTGGTGACAAGAGAATCTAAATGCATGAAACAGCCTCCCTGAAGAAGGTGGGGGTAAGTGGTGCTGATCTAATTAACTTGGTTTTTTCCTTGTTTACTCATGGGAACGTGCCCACTAGCATTACGTTCCAGTAGAGACAGTCCTGCTCTATAGGTGTTTGAGATGCTGTCCCAGATGTCTGTCTTTTGTCCTCATTCATTGCTTCCTCTAGAGGCCTATGGGTCTGCTTCTCCCCAGCGAAGGTATTTGCTCCACCCGTTTTATGGGAGCTAAAAAGATACATGGAGGAAAAATTAACTTCTACCCAGAAGCTCAAGGTAAACACTAAAGGAATTGAATACCCCATCCATGAAGTAGACAGTTATTAGCCATTAGCAGCTTCTTTGTTTTATTTTCTACCACTTTCTGCAAATGGGATTCTTCAGCTCAGTCATCAGCAGGGCCAATTGGGATTATGTTTCCGCCTCCAAAATTAATAGGAAAACTAGGCAGGGGAAGGACATTGAGAAATTACTACTTTTTCAATTGGGGTGATTTTAGAAATTTTTTTCCCCACCACAACACTCCTCTGGCCCCCCTGTCTCTTTTCCTTCCCCTTCCTCTCAACCTCACAGCTCTTGGGATGTTTATTAGTGTCCACTGGTGCTTGAAAATGTTTTATGTTATTGAATTGTCTACAACATAAATGTCCAGTATTTGTTTTCACCGTTGACTTGTTTTACTAAACAAAATTCTCAAAAATTCCCTCCATTTCATTGAAAATGACTGTTTCACCTTTTTTCTTTTTTTAAGATTTACTTATTTATGCATGAAAGAACAGGGGTACAGGCCAGAAGTTTGGGGGGTGAGAGGATTCACCAGAGAAAAATGGGAAACAGAACAGGCAGATCTACTGAAATACACTGCTGAGGGTATCAGTAGGCGAGACAGGAGAGGTCTGCTGCGCCATGTGGGTAGCTCCCTGGCCAGGCATCGAACTCATGCTGCAGTGGCTGCTCATAGGTTGCATCTTAACCCCTTGTGACACCAGGGAGGCCCGTTTCATCTTTTCTTATGGCTACATAATACTCTGTGGTGTGGATAACCACATTGCTGGATCCAGTCCATCTGCTGACATTTAGGCTGCTTGCATATCCTAGCTATTGTGAATAATGCTGCTGTGAACATTGTGGAACTTACAGAACTTGGTATTGGTGGTTTCAAATTTCATGTTCTTTGCATAGATTCCCAAGAGTGGGATTGCTGGGTTGTATGATATTTCTGTTTTCAGTTTTTTAAGGTAAATCCAGATTGCTTTCCATAATGGCTATACCAGTGTGCAGTCCCACCAGCAGTATAATACAGTTCCTTTTTATCCTCATCCTTTCCAACACTCTTATTGAGAGTCTTTTTAACATGTGCCATTCTTGCTGATATGACATGGTATTTCATTGTGATTTTAATCTGCCTGTCTCATTAGAAGTAATCATGAATATTTTTTCATGTGTGTTTTGGCCTTCTGGATATCCTCTTTGGTGAATTGTCTGTTTCTATCTGCTGTCCATTTATTAAAATTAATGAGTTTTTTATATATCTTGGATATTTACTCCCATATCAGTTACATACTCTACAAATATTTTCTCCCACTCAATAGGGTGTATTTTCATTGTCTTATATTTTCTTGGCTTCTTAACTTGAGATAATCCCGATTGTTTGTTTTTGTTTTTAATTTCCCCACGTTAATGGTTGAGTCACCAAAAATATCTTTGTTGTTGATATCATAGAATGTTTCACCAATGTTTTCATGTATATATTTTGTTGTTGTGGGTCTTCTGTCTAAATCTTTAACCCAGGGCCTCCCCAGTGGCACAGCAGTTGAGTGCTGGGCTGCGAAGCTACCTGCAGCCTCTGCAGTGCCCATTCGATCCCCGGCCACCGGGCGAGGGTCCCACATGGCACAGCAGACCTCTCCTGTCTTGCCCGCTGCTCCTCTCAGCAGTGTATTTCAGTCCTTCTGCCTGTTCTGCTCCCCGCTCTGGCTCTGGTGAATTCTCTCACCCTTCCGCGCTTCTGACTGTACCCAGTGCTTGTATAAATACATAAATACTTTAAAAAAATAATAATAAATTTTTAATCCACTTGGAGTTTATTTTTGTGTATGGGGTTAGTGAGTAATCCTATTTCACTCTTTTATGTGTGGCTTTCTAATTTTCCCAGCACCATTTATTAAAGAGGCCATCTTTCCCTCATTTTATGGTTCTAACTGCTTTATCATAGACTAGTTGCTGGTAT